AAAAAAAAAAATCCAGGGACTTAAAAAAAAATTTGGATATACAGGTTTGGGAAATGGTAAAAGGGATTGTTCAACAAAAATTAAGTTTTAAACCTTAAATGTTATTATTGAATATAATGCCAGAAATTATTGACAAGAAAATAAAATATAGTCTACTCTATATATTCACAGCAGCTAGGTTACTCTGGGCCCAAAAGTAGAAGAATGTAAAGACACTAACAATTGATGAGTTATTAAAGAAGCTATTGGGCACTGCAGAACTAGACATGCTTTCAGAGGCACTATGGGATCAACCAAGAGACTTTGTAAAGCAAAGCTGGAAGCTGATGTATAATTGGGCCTAGAAAAAGAAAGAAACTTAGGGGGGAAATTAGTCTATAGCGAATCAGTGCTCACTGGAATCCCCTTGAAGATATTCCGATGACCAGAAATCTCTGATCCATAGGGGAAGGATGGATGCTTATCTGTGGGGTTTTTTTGTCTGTCTATTTGTTTTGTTATCTGTTAGATTGTTAATGTTTTTAATTTTGTATGTTTAGATATGAATAAAATGGTTAAAAAATAATAATTAGGTTTCAGTTTTATAATGTTAGGTTCTTGTGGCATGTGATATCTTTAAGCTGAATATTATAAGTCTGCATAATATATCCTTGCCAAAATTAAAGTGGAAAAAGTGTGTGGGGGTGGTGGGAAATGACAAAATATTGTGGCACATTAAAGACTGACAGATTTTGTGGATGGTTGTATTAATAAAATACAACATGAAAACTTTCCTATTTTCTCTTCTTCCTGTTTCCCTCCCTTCCCCCAAATATCCCCAAGTGTGGAAACTATGCAGTCCTGGTAGATCTCCACCTTATGGCACAAGACTCCAGTGAGGACAATGTGTGGCTTTCTGATCAAAAGAGAGAGGTAAGTATCTATCTATCTATCTATCAATCTATCTATCTATCTATCTATCTATCTATCTATCTATCTATCTATCTATCTATCTATCTATCTATCTATCTATCGGGAGAGAGAGAGAGCGCGCGCAAAGAACTCGATTGGTTTGCTCCATTTCTGAAAATATTGCACCCTTATATCTAACCGCCATTGATTTTTGGGTGCAGGGCTTTTCTGATTTCTTATCTCTCTTGATGCAATTAAGTTCTCATTCACCTGTCAGTTGAGGTGATAGGCAATCTAGAATTGATTAGCATTCAATTAACAATTTTAAATTAGTACTTGTAGATGTACTGAAGTTCATGATCTTATCAGTAACTTGCAGCTGTGTGCATGCAGAAGTGGTGGGTGCTAGAGCAGCCAATGTGTATTGGATCACCTCCCTGCTGCTTGCTTCACTTCAATTAAATCCCATTAATTCTTCTGTATTGCAGAGACCCATAGAATGACACAAGGATGGAATAAGAAGGGAAACATTTCATTTTTGAATTGATTTATGGGAAGATAGGGGTATTTATTTATAAAAGTATTTGTATTCTTTTCCTTCAAAATGACTGCTAAATATTGCGCAATATCCTGTTCGTACCAGCATAATGAAAAATTACGCTGCGGTCAATGTGGCAAGTGCTACAGCTGGCAACAAGGAAGCACACTAGTGAACTGCACAATCAGTCACACATCCCCAATGCAACTTATTGCACTGTACACCGGCAGAAGTGTTTTGGGGATAACACTTCCACTTCAGCTGTAGCGCAACTGCTGTGTATGCAATCTTGAGCTGCACAGTAAGATTTTGGCCAGTATTATCACTTTGTTCGCCTTCTACATTTCCATGTCTACTTTCTGTCTATTGTGTGTATAGTCACTTGACGTCTGCTATCTTTATTTTGTTCTACGGATCTAAAATACTGTATAGTATAAAATAAATGAGTAAATAGTTGATGGTCACTGCTGGCCTGAGATACAAGATTATTTTGGGATAGGTCTCCAAACAATTTTCTATTTTTCATCCTTTCCTCCACCCCTGTTCTTCCAAATATCCCAACTGTGGGAACTTTGCCATACCTACAGAAAAATATAATGTGCTTAGCTAATATAGGTGATCTAGGAGTAATAATAGTGTAGTTAAAAACAAGTTCCACCTATATCAAGTGTGGGTTTCAAATCAAATATAGCATTGTAACCTATATCTTTTCCTTCTTTCCCAAAAGCTTGCAAAGAACACATTGTTCTGTAGAATAACTTTTGAGAATTCATAATTACTCAGATGTAGGACATATTTTAACTTGTTTGTTTATGTGCCATCAAGCACATACCTACTAGCACATACCTACACCAACTTATTGCAGCCCTAGTAGGTATTAGAGATACTTAACGAGTGGTTTTACCAGCACTACCTCCTTAGCCAAGCAACGATTTGAGGCCAGGTCTCCTGAGTCCAAATCTGCCGCTTTATCCACTACACTGCACTGACACTATTTTGCCTTATTTGGAAACAATGTGTCTTGCAGGAGATCTGTATGCTTCTGAAGGACACTGTTGATTCAAGAGTGAAGCAGTACCTGAGAGCTCATAAACGACATGGTCAGGGGAAGCAAACGGAATCCGCCAAAGCAAATCCTTTGTTTATGCAAGGTAAGGAACTCTTTATAAAATGAATACATCACTTTCATCACTAGTGGCTTTTACTTGAACTTTTGAGTGTTAACTTGTCTCACTACATATTTTGCTATCAAACAGGCAGAATACACATCTTGGAAACACACATAAGTGTATGGTATCTGTAGTTTGTTGTTGTTAATATATGTTGTCAGGGATGGAATCCTATTGAGGTAACTATATGGGCATAAACAGCAATGATAACATGCTGCAGTTTTCCTCTTTATTTTAATTTAATTTAAAGCTTCCTATTCACCCCTTTTCAGGTTCTGAGGATCCCTTTGGACCTGGGGAATACCTTATGAAACATAAGGCAAGGGTGGGGAGTCTTTAATATCAAAAAATAGCCACTGGATCATCATCATTAGTCTTGTTTCCTGCAGTGGCAATTTGACAATGATTCTTGCTATTAAAGGCTTCCATCCCGTCCTTAGGTTCTCAATGGTTTCCCAGGTCAAAATGGATCCCTAGGGAACCTCAGAACAGAAACAGGGTGAGGAGGAGGAAGAATTTAATTTAATTTAATTTAAAATTCATGGGTTGAGGCCATTATTGCCATTTACACCTGCATAAGTTATACAAGAGGATTTCAGCCAGTGAGTCAGTGCAACACTGCACTTGTCAACTTAGAGAGCAAGATTTGATTTCAGTCAAATCAATTTAAATTTTAAAAATCAGATCTTTTTGAAGATTTAAATTTTAAAATCATTTTTTAATTTAAATCAACTTGATTTTTTAAAAAAATTGAAAACTGTTGTTGTTACTGAAGAATAGCTGGTGGTTGATGCAGCTCAGATAATCAGAATACAAAGGACCAATCTGATTTCTTTTTTCCTTGGATGTCCTATTAGGGGGTGTAGCGTTCATCCTTTGTTAGGTATAAGTCATGTATTATTCATGTTCTATGCAAATGTGGTAGAAAGGCGGAGCCGAGAGAGAGGTTAAAAGGAAGAGTCAGTCAGGAGTGAGTCAGTGAGTTAGTTAGAGTTAGAGGTAGAAGAGATAGAGATTGAGTTAGAGACTGGTTAAGATAAATAGATAGTGAAGGTGGAAATTATATGGCAAGAGAATAGTATATACATCTGAAGAATTTCTGTGATTATTAAATTGACTTCACTTTAATAAATAAGTTTTGTTTGCATTCACAATACAAGTGTCTGATCAAACGACATTATTTTGTGGATTGAGGTAATCCACTGGTGGCAGTGAAAGGAAAACATGACTGGAGCCTTTGTGAGGGCACAAAACGTAGATGCTTCAAGGAGGTGAACATCACAATGGGTGTCCAGCAGCAGGGTATGAAAAAATCCAGTCAAACCAGAGTTAAAAGTGAATTTTCTTTGAGTCAGAGGTACCTTTTAGTCAGAGGTCTGTGGTAAAGAAGTGGGTTACCTGCTAGAGCTTTAGTGGTAAAGCTTAGTGGCAGGGCCTCTGATCCCAGATCTGAGGGGAGACTAAAGACGGAATGACTCTGAAGGAAACAATTATTTTCAGGTTACCTCAGGGTTTGAACAGACCCAGTGGGCTAGCTTAAAATCCAAGGCTCTGCGAGTTAAGGGCGTGCTTGTGGATAAAAAACAGAAGCCAGAGTCAGAACAGGTATGGGGTGAGAGGAACATAAAAAGCAGAGGCTTGAAAACAGAAATT